AGCTGAGGCAGGAGAATCATTTGAACTTGGGAGGCAGAGGTTGCAGTGAGCCGAGATTGGGCCACTGTACTCCAGCCTAGGTAACAAGAGTGAAAACTCCATCACAAATAAATAAATAAACAAATGAATAAATGGAAAGCCCTGATGCAAAACTCTGAGTGGATCTGAAACTGAGATACAGCTCTGAAAAAAGAAAGCAGACAGAAAGAAAGCCACCTCAACAGATACACTGAGGGACAGCTGAAGAATGAACAGAGAAAATGAACTGGGAAAGTCGCCTTGAATACAGCATAGTGAGAGGGGAAAGAAGTGACCCTGAGGGAGGAGCCAGAATTTGCAACACTTTTCTAGTTTTCTAGGCAACCTGGAAGGAGAAAATAAAGAATGGAGGAGAGAGAATGTTTGAAAAAATAATGGCTGGTAATTTCCCAAAACTAAAGAAACACTTGAATCCTTAGATTATGAGGTCTCATAAAGTGGAAGGAATGATTTTTAGCAACATACAGCAAGTAATCAAATCTTCAAAGAAACCTAGATATACCAAAGTGATACTTAAGACTGTCAGAGACAAAAAAAAAAAAAAATTCTCAAAATAACCAAAGAGAAGAGACAATGTATAATATATGCTGGAACTGAAATCCCAGAGAACGAGAATCAGATTGATACCAGTCAACTCTCATTATCCACAGTGCATATAAAAAGATAATGGAGAATCACCTTCAAAGGGTTGAGGGAAAATACCTTTGAATCAGAATTCAAAACACAACCAAACCATCTTCCAAAAGGGAAGTGAATAAAGACAGTTTTGAACATACAAATGCTTTAAATTCATCATCACTGACCTTCTATTTTGAAAAAAAATCCAGCTGTCTGGCCAGGTGTGGTATCACGTGCCTGTAGTCCCAGCTACTCAAGAGACTAATGTGGGAGGATCACTTGAGCCCCAGAGTTCAACACCAGCCTGGGCAACCTAGTGAAACTGCCATCTCAATTTAAAAAAAAAATCCAGCTGTCTTAGTTTGTTTGTGTTTGTGTTGCTATAAAGGAATACCTGAGGCTGAGTAACTTTAAAGAAAAGTTTATTTGGCTCATAGTTATGCAGGCTGGTGCCAGCATCTGCTTCTGGTGAGGGCCTTAAACTGCTTCCACTCATAGCAGAAGGCAAAAGGGAGCTGGTGCATAGAGATCCCATGGCAAGAGAGGAAGCAGGCAAGATGGGAGGGAGGCACCAGACTCTTTTTAAGCAGCTCTCGCAAGAACTAATAAAGTGACAGCTCACCCCCCATTCCAAGGAGTATTAATCTACTCATCAGAGATCTGACCCCCATCACCTAAACACCTTCCATTAAGCCCCATCTCCAACACTGGGGATCAAATTTCAACATGAGATTTGGAGAGATCAAACATCCAAACTATAGAAGCCTGGAATAAAGAATTCTTACAAATCTGGGAGAGGGGACCAACAACCTAACCTTATCTGAAACTATGACAGAAACCCCATCTTGTACAAGGATCAAAAGAAACTCTTTTTCAGCTATTTAAAGGGGGGGTAGTCCTATGTAGTAGTCATCAATGGCCACTAATATCCCAAAAAAGAAAGACAATCAGACATAGTGTGCTTCCTGATAGGAGTATGTACTACCAAAGAAGTATTCTTGCCGTAAAACTCAAACCTGCTAGCCTGGGCAAGATGGCGAAACCCTGTCTCTACAAAAAATACAAAAATTAGCAAGGTGTGGTGCACACGCCTGTAATCCCAGCTGCTTGGGAGACTGAGGCAGGAGGATTACTTGAGTCCAGGAGTTCAAGTCTGCAGTGAGCCATAATCAAACCACTGCACTCCAGCCTGGGCAAAAGAATGAGACCCTGTCTCAAAAAAAAAAAAAAAAAAAAAAAAAGGAAAAAAAAACCTCAAACCTGAATGTAGTCATGCCTCTAGATCTAACCTCCCCTTACAGGAAGAGAGGAATATATTTAAAATCACCACAGCAATGCTGTCATCAAAATCCAGATTCTGGGAAACTTAACAGGACAAACAGTCTGGTTGTTTCAACAAATATATTACAAGGGAGCAGCAAAAGAAGCAGAGGGAAACTTACCAATTGAAAGATTTAAGAGACACATCACTGTTGCAAGATATGAAACACATTTGAATCCTGGTTATTAAGAAATGATTAGGCCGCGCACAGTGGGTCATGCCTGTAATCCCAGCACTTTGGGAGGCTAAGGCAGATGGATCATTTGAGGCCAGGAGTTTGAGACCAGCCTAGCCAACTAGTGAAACCCCGCCTCTACTAAAAATACAAAAAGTAGCCAGGCATGGTGGTATGCGCCTATAGCCCCAGCTACTCAAGAGGCTGAAGTAGGAGAATCACTTGAACCCAGGAGGGCAGAGGTTGCAGCGAGCTGAGATCGTGCCACTGTACTTCCAGCCTGGGTGATAGAGTGAGACCCTATCTCAAAAAAAAAAAAAAAAAAGTTCTATGAAGTCTAAGCTGGACGAGTCCTAAAGAATTATTTGTTCTAAAATCTTCATTTTATAAAGCATAAAACGACCCATAAAGGACTATTTGTCCAGTTAGGACTGGAACCCAGATGTCTTGACTCTTCGTAGCCTCTCTTTATGAGGAAGTTATTCTCTAAATAACAACCCTTTTTTTCCTATATCCTTAATTAGGGCATTCAACCAACTTTGTGGTAACCGTCCTCTTACCCTCCAAGCGGTCCAAAGACTACTGGATTGCCAAGGGATCAGCTTTGCTCTGCCAGCTGAGTGAATGAAAAGGTGCCACCTCAGCACTAAAAGAGAACCGAGATCTTTCCTAATGGGAGCAAAAGATTTGAATAACTTATATGTGAGCAAAAAGGTGTTAATTCTGATTTGACTTAAAGGTATTAAGTGTGACTTTTATTTCTCTTATGTCCTTAAAATAAAGTGTTTGAGTTCTTTCTGTTGGCAATCCAAGCTCCTCTGTAGAATCAGTGGGTTCAACACCCACCTGTTAAACCTGCTCCCCAACCCTAAGTGAGAGGCAGCTTCCCATCAGTTACTTTCTGGGACCCCCAGGAAGAGTCAGGACTCAGCACTCGCTTCCCCTCACAGGCTCCTTTCCTCCTCACGCTGACATGAAAGGCCCCAGGTGTTTCCATTTCTAGACTAGATTAAGGCTCTCAGAGTCCAGTGCATGGGAGGTTGATGCGGTGAGCACAACTGGTAGAGCAAATGAGCAGGATAATAAGAAGTTGGCCTATGATGTCAGTTCCCCGTTCTGTGGGGCTGCATCACAATCCTTGGAAGAGCCTATGCTTTCACAAAAGGGCAGGCCAATCCTGCCCAAGTATGGAGGATTTTCCCCTTCCACTTTAGGATGATTCTGTATGAAAACTAACCAAGTCCCAGTCAGGTGCATCTGAGCCTCTGCCACCTCAAAAGCAGAGATTGGTGGCTCAGTTCTCAAGTGGAGCAGCCAGTGTGACAAACCACCTTGTGTAGGTCCTGCCAGTAATGGTCTGCCTGCTTCCTCGGCCATAATGTGATCCAAGAAACAAGGAAATCACCCAGCTAGGATTGAGCCCTTGGTGGGAGCCACACCACCCTCTTACAAAGAATTGGAGGAACAGAGTCAGGCCTCCCAGTGTATCTCTGCCTCCCCGCTCCATCCCCATACCTATCGAAGTTAAGAGCAGATTCAAGTCGCAGAGAAGCAGGTAACAGCACTTTTGCCAGAAATCAGTGCACAAATCAGAAACTACTCTTGGTATTTCAAGCAGAAATAGTTGCTAACATGGTCACGGGAATGGCTGCCGCTGCAGAAGTCAAAGAGTTGATATCAGGCATCACACCATCTGTACTCCAAGGTGGGAACCCTGAAGGAAGAATTGTGCCAACCTCACAGCTACTCCACGCTGAAGCAGGGGAATAGAGGGGGCTGCAGAGACTGACCACTGCACAAAATTGTGTCTGCTGAAGCCTGTACATAACCATGCCCCCTGCTCAAGAAAAGTTCCCTCTGCCCACTTTTGTTTTCCAGATATCCCATGAGTGTATCTCATTAGGAGAATCGAACACAGCAGCAGGGGGATTTGGGAGTTTTTGCCCGCCTACCCCTGCAATACAGATGGTGCAGAATGGAACCAAAGTGGTGGACATGGTTAAGTGCCACCACACTACTGTTTCAGTAAGGCCACTGAGATCTTCTGGGCCCTGGAAATAACTGAGCATGAACCCACAAAAGCCTCAGAAAAGGAAGGGAAGCCAGAGCTACAAATCCAGACAATCAGCCTTACCCTAAGCCAGATTAGGGAACAAATACACCTACTTCTTACTGACCCCACCCAAGCCCTGGACAGACATTCTATCTAGGGTTTTTGTGGGCTACTCAGAAGCCCAGGACCATAAAGGACGCTTGCCACAGGTGGGAGACCCTGATCTGGAACCATGGTGGTTAGGGGAGAGAGATCACCTGGGCAGGGTCAAAAGCTCCCATTTCAGATTCAACTGGGGAAGTTCTACTCTTACACATTTTATAGAGAGAGTCCCAATAAGATTTGTATTTAGAAAAGACATTTACAATAAGCATGCGAATAATAAATAACAAGATGGGGATTGGGGGTAGTCTGAAAACCACTTTCTTGCACAGCACCTCTGACAAAGCCTACCCACTCCCCCCACCCCCCCCACCCAGCCTCTCAGTGAGACACACACATTATACAAAATGAAAGCATCTCTTAGGGCACAGGGAGCACCCTATTCACCAGAGCTTGAATAGAGAGGTGCAGACCACAAGTTCCATGGCCCACTGACTCCCCTGCATCCAGAACCAAGAGTGGCACAAAGAAAGGGAGCAGAAAGAGGAAAGGGTCAGGATACAAAGCCAGGGCCGGAAGGGATCAGAGCTGCACCTGAGAAGTGCAGGGCCTAGGGGGAAGCAGTGAAAGGATTTAGGGTGTGAGAGAAGTTGTCTGCCTGATATATACACATCATAAATAAAAATCTACACCAAAAAAAGGTTTTATTTTCATACAACTCATTTATAATTTATTTTCACACAACTCATTATGTTACAAAACTGTACACCTCCCCCCAAAGTTGGATAACCCAAAGTCTCATTCCTTGGAAAGAGAAGAATCAACACTGGGCTTCTTTTTCAGTGTTGGATTGGGCCCAACAAGGCTAGACCAGAATGTGGAGTACAGGAATGGCCATCCTTCAAGTCCAAGGGGTCAGGGTCTTAGCCTGGTACTTCCGGTCGTTACAGGAGAGGTGTCTCTGTTTGGAAAGCCAGCACCAGCACCCAGAACACAGGAGTCCAGAGAGACAGGCAGGCACTGCTGGCCACCATCTGGCTGTGGTGGGAATGCCCATGGCGAGGGAACTGCAGCTCAGTGGAGATGTGCCTGTCCAGGACACGGACCTGGAGTTGCGGGACCATGTCACTAGGAGGCAAAGAGAAAGACAGAGTCTGAAGGCACAGCAGAAACCACTGCACATGCCAAGGCCCCCAAATGCCCACACAGCTTCTCTTCATCTCCCCTCCTTAAAGAAAGGAATAGGTATTAGTATGTTAAGAGGCTTCCTATATCTCTGGTCCTCTTTCATGTCTTTGGCCACTGCTACCAGAAAACCAAATGGCAGAGGATATTGAGACCAGCAGACTAGCCAACTGTCCCTGGCTATTTGGTTCTTCATTCAAAGATTAGTGAAAGTCTTCATATAAGGCCCAATTCAAAGTTTGCTAATCACTAGCCTTTGGGCAATCTTAGGCAGGGACCCTCCTCACTGGCCACCACAGAGGCAGAGCCAGACCATGCAGATTCCTCCCTGGGTCTCTGCCTCTCTCACCTGCCCAAGTCCAGGCCTGATGTGCACAGCATGTAGGCATACCAGGTCAAGACAGTTCAAGCTGAGGGACCCATGACCTCAGGCTTACCCAGATCTTTCACCTTAGCTGAGGTATAAAGTGCCCAACCCCGTGGCCACCAATGGCCTTGTTGGAAAAAGTACTAAACAGGTCAATTTATTTCTCTGTCAATGGAGGATAGTTCATGAGTCACCGTGGGACATGAACACCATCAGAAGTTGTCCCCGTTCTCCAGGTCCCATCTGGCTGCCAGCTTCTGTCCATTTACAATGCAAATCACACAGCATCTCACATGTCTGCTTCAAACCTTTCAATGGCTCCCTACTTTCCTCCCTGTTTACCTCTCTAGACACATCTCACCTCACTACTCCTTCACTTCCCAGGCCCCAGCCAGAATTACTTTACTCGGCTTCTTCAACACAATCGTTCCCTCCAACCAGACTTTCACATTGTTCCCTCTGCCCTCAACTCTTCCCCTTCCCTACTCAGTTGTTCACTCACTCACTCACTCACTCATTCTACATTTATTAAGCACCTGTGCAGGCACTGGATCCCTGAATCTACTGATCCAGACTCAGAAGCTCTATTCACAAGGTTCCACTTTGGCTTCTAGTCAGCATAAGCCAAAAGGATGCTTCCTCAAGGGAAGACTTTCCTGACCTCTGACCCTAAGTAGTAACCTCCAACACACACACACACACACACACACACACACACACCCCATGCACCACAAACACACACACCCACAGCACCTTACACTTCCATTGCAGATTATCTACTCAAAAATCCATCTTCCTCACCAGAATGCAAGTTCCATGAAGGCAGGGCCTGTGTCTGATTGGCCCCATACACACAGCATCCAACACAACAGCAGGCACAAAGGAGGGACTCAATAAACCTGAGATTAATTTAACTGGATTCCTGCTCCCCGCCTCTCTGGGGTAGTTCTTCCAGAAGCCTTGTGCCCTGCGGACTCAGGCTTGCCTATCCACCTCTGATCTACTCCCCAGCCATCTCTGAGACTACATTCAGTGTAGGGTCACAACTCTTCCAACTCTTCCCTTACAATGGGAGTTAAACATGCCCATTCCCACCGAGCTGTTTACAGCTCTGCAAATCTATGGCACTCTCCCTAAATCTGCCATGGAGAAAGATCTGAAAAATCAAGTTATTTGCAACCTTTCCAGATGCCTTCCACTTTTAACAGACTTATCCTACCCGGAAACTTGTTCTTTAACAAGCATAAACATGTTGCCCTTGCCCTGGCTTGAAGCAACTACCTTAAATCTGGATTCGCTTCTGTCACAGTGGACAGAAAAAGGGTGCCTGGGGTCATGAGGAAAGGGAAAGGTTGCTCCATGAGGGGGGTTCCCATTGCAACCAGTGTGAGGGGCATTCCTGGCTCCGCTCACTAGGGTAAAGGTGGATGCCAGCCCGACCCGGCCTATTCGCCTGACCTCTCCTCCAGGCGGACCCACAGATCGCTGAACTGCCGGAGTCGCTGCCTCCGCCGTGGCCGCCTCCGCTTCTTCCGGAACTTCTGCTCGGCGCCACTGGGAGGGTGGGCACTTCCAGGCCGGGACACAAGGGGCGGCAGCGTTGAGTGCACCGAGGATATGGCTTCCGGTGTCGGTACTTCCTGGGTAGGCACTTTTGGAGCAAAGATGGTGGACGGGGTGGGCTGTGTGGAGGTCTTTTTACTCTTCCCTCTGTACACAAGTGGAAGGAGGAGGTCTTTGGAGGAGGGTCACACAGCATGGCACCCTCCCCAGCTCTCTTACACCTCAGGTTTCACGATGACGGCAGATAACCTGAAAGTTCAACCTGGCCAGGAAGGGCAGAAATTACCCAGTTCTTGAAATTACCTTGGGAATTGATCTCTTTGACGCCTTTTTTCTTTCCCCCTCAGATATCCTCACTCTACCTTCTCCAAATCCCCTAGTCCTGGGGAGAAAGATTCAAGATTTTTAAACTATTACATGTACAGTAATTACTGTACTTTTCCAACAATGAACAGGTCAGCACTGTCTAGAAAATCACTGACAATTATGGCTTTTTTTTTTTAGAGACCAGGTTTCTCTCAGTAGCTCAGGCTGGAGTGCAGTGGCCCAATCATAGCTCACTGTAGCCCCAAACTCCTGGGCTCAAGTGATTCTCCCGCCTCCGCCTCCCAAATACAGGCAAATGTCACCACTCTGACTAGTGAACAGTAAAGCTTTTAAAGACAGATGGAAAACGTTTAAATGCCATTTGCTTAAAACCAGTGAAGTAACTCTTAACCCTCTTAATCCTTTCTGTACCCTCATGAGGTCTTTATTCAGGAAGAGGCTCTCACGGCTGTCTTCAAACCACTTAATCACAGATTTGTCCTTAAATCATCTTTCCCAAAGAGATATTTTCACAACTAATGGGAAACTCAGACTCACTTCTAGTGTTCCCCTAAAAGTGACTATAGTCACCAAATACTTTGAGTGTGAAGAAATAAGCTACTAGAAGGACCAAGTTTCTTCCAACAACAGAATTTTGTCAAGGGTTTGGTGAAGGGAATGGGGGAGCAGAAAGAGAAGAATTCTACTAGATGTCAATCCCATTGTCTCCTGATGTAGGTAGGGAGTGAGGGTCTTGAAACTCCCATCTGCCTGAGGCAGGGGAGCAGTGGATGTGCCATGTCTAGGGTTTTCCTCGTCCAATGATGTAGGTGCCACTGACCAGCACATGTAAGAACTCAATTACTCCAAATCAGCCTTGATGAACCATCTGCCTTACCAGAGTGGGCCTCAGTTCTGAGCCACAACATGGCAGAGCCTGAGAAGTCAGTTAGTATTAATGGCTTTGTGTGAGGAAGGGTGGAGGTATACAAGAAGGAAAGCAAAAAAGGGAAAAACTTATATTGGGCAAAAAATATAAAAGAAGGGAATTCCTAAAATGGCAAAAGATTTAAAAAGGCCCCTACTCTGAACCTGAGACTAAGGACCCCAGAAACATAAAGTCATAGCTAGAAGGTTCCTGGAGGACAGGGCTTAATATATTATTACTGTCTCCTGAGTTCAGCACAATGCCTGGTACATAACTGTGAAGCCACTTAAATGAACCCTTTCATTATTACAACAAAGAAACTAGAGCCTCAAAAGGGAATGTGCCCCCATCACGGCTCTCTAGGATTCAGGTGGCCTCCTAGGGCAGGGGTCCCCAGCCCCCAGCCATGGACTAGCACTAGTCTGTGGCCTGTTCGGAAATGGGCCACACAGCAGGATGTGAGCAGTAGGCAAGCAACCATATAACCACCTGAGCTCCACATCCTCTCAGATCAGCAGGGACATCAGATTCTCATAGGATCACAAACCCTACTGTGAACTGTGTGTGCTAGGGATCTAGGTTGCACGCTCCTTATGAGAATCTAAACCTGATATGAGGTTTCACCCCAAAACCATCCCCCCCTCCCCTGGAAAAATTTTCTTCCACAAAATTAGTCCCTAGTGCCAAAAACGTTGGGGGCCACTGTCCTAGAGGGTTCAAGAGCAGATGGTCAGGCAGCTCCACGCCCACCAAGCCCTCTGCCCATGGCAGAGACTATGTCTTTGTCATCCTCAGCCTCCATATGACCCAAACAGGTCCTGGTACATGGTAGGCACTCAAAAAAAGTCTGTTGCTTTGATTTAGCAAGGAACATGGTCTCAATCTCACTAGGGCTGTGTTCTATGGCTTGAAACAGTGGGTCCTCACAGTGAGACAAATCATAGCTTTGTTTCTGTTCAACTCACAACAAACAAAGATCTCACCCCAGAAACTCCAGGTAGCCAAGGCCAGGGCTTAAGAGCCAAGTTAATAGCCCTGGGTGGGGGTTGGAGAGTAGGGGTCAGGAAGAAATTAGCTTTACTCTTCCTGGTTTTTATTTCCCTCATATTTCTGAGCTAAGGAGTCCTAAGGAATCATAATACCTACTTTATAACTGAGGAAACTGAAGACCCAGGAGAGGAAACTGACCTGCACAAGGTTACAAGAAGGATTCTGTGCCATCTTTTTTTTTTTTTTTTTTTTTTTTTGAGACAGAGTCTTGCTCTGTCGCCCAGGCTGGAGTGCAGTGGCATGATCTCGGCTCACTGCAACCTCTGCCTCCCAGGTTTAAGAAATTCTCTGCCTCAGCTTCCCAAATAGCTGGGATTACAGGCACATGCCACCAGACCCAGCTAATTTTTTTGTATTTTTGGTAGAGACAAGGTTTCACCATCTTAGCCAGGCTGGTCTTGAACTCCTGACCTCGTGATCCACCCGCCTCAGCCCCCCAAAATGCTGGGATTATAGGCGTCAGCCACCACGCCTGGCCAATTCTTTGCTGTTTTTAAGTAACATTCATTGTTGAGATTTTTTTCACGTCATAAAGCTAATCCATTCTCATTGTAGAAAATATAGAGTGTAGAAATTAGTGTCACTGTACTCTCTAGGGAGATCCTACAGACAAATGCTCACATGGACTCAGACAGGGGTTTAAGGGTCTCTAGGTCAATAGAGGTGACTGCTTTTCTGCCTCAAATAGAAAATCCCAGCTGCTGAACACACCCAATCCATCATAGAGCCTCTGGGCTGGATCCCGTCACAGGCTCCAGATCTAGATTATCATGTTTTGACCCACCTGGATTCTCACAGTTTAGCTAAACTTCTACACACAAAGGTTAAGCCCATGGTCATTTTGGCTACAATATAGGGCTACCCCCTTGTGCTGATAGCCTATTTGCCCCCTACCTGCATTTCACGCAGCCTCCTCGCTCCATAGAAGTCTCCAAGAAAGAAACACACTGGTTGACAAGGAAAAGACCCCAGGCTTGGAGCCTTAGACAAGATAATTGACCTTTCTGAGCCTCTGCTGCTTGTATAAAATTAACCTATCCTACTTTGTTGCTGTGAGGATTAAAACAGCCCAAACACCATGCTTCACACAGTGCTGAGCACTCAGTAGATCCTTACTTCAGGTACATCCCTCTTTCTCCCAGTCCTCTGAGAATGAGTGAAGCTGTATAAACCCTAGCAGGGCTGATCAGAACCTTAGAGCATCCCACTGTGTAACCAAAGGGACATCTGCCAGATCTCCAAAGATGTCCATGATCTTGCCCCTGGAGGCTCTGAACACGTTACCTTACATGGTAAAAGGAACTTTGCAGGTGTGATTAAGTTAAGGACCTTAACATGAGGAGAATAGCCCAGATTATCTAGGTGTGCCCAATCTGATAACATGGGCCCTTAAAAGCAGAGAACCCTTCTGTGGTCAGCGGGGGATATGACTATGGAAGAATGGTTATAGAGATGCAACATTGCTGGCTTTGAAGATGGAAGGCTCCACGAACCGAGGAATGTGGGCAGCCTCTAGAAGCTGGAAAGGAAAAGAAAACAAATTATCTAGAACCTCCAGAAGGGAATGCAGCCAAGCCCACACCTTAATTTCAGCCAGTGAGACCTGTGTCAGACTTCTGATCTCCAGAACTATAAAATAATGAATCTGTGTTGTTCTAAGCCATTGAGTTTATGATAATTTGTTATAGCAGCAATAGAAAACTAGCATAGTATCCATTATCCCAGGGGGAGGAGGGAGGAACTGGCTAAGCCCTCTGCAGATTAGCCTAACAGGAACCCCATCTCTTTCTCTTCTCTGCTGAAAGAATAGCAGCCTCACATTCAGGAGCATTTCCTGTGTTTTCCAGCCTGCTGACAAGTGGAGAGTGGCAGCTGCTAGTTGCCCTCCCCACACCCCAACCTGCACACCCATCTCTGTCTCCCCAATACTGGCTTACCCCAAGACTAAGGGAGCTGGCAGGGCCTGAAGTAAGCTAGATCACCAGTTAATAGCCCTCATGTCCCCAGCCACACCAGCCTGCCCTGGATTCAAGTTCCACATGACCAGAATCATCCCTTAAGGACTACCATATGGCTGCCGAGGAGGGGAAGAAGGAAACAGGTATCCCTCTACTGCCCTGGTCCTCCTTGCCAGCCCCTCTTTGTGGGCATTCTCCCCCAACCCTCTTCCCTGGGTCCTTAGCTTCCCAGGACCCTGTCCCTTCTTCCTGAACAGGAGCTCCTTTGGAGACCTCATCCTCTCTCATGGCTTCACCTGGGACCACTGTATGCACGTTCACCCCTCAGGTCCCCCACTGGCTGAATAAATGAATGCACGTGAGCAGCACCGGCAATGATAGTAGCACATCAGCAATCAATCCTATTTGAGATCCCATCATGTGCCAGATGCCAGGATAGGTACTCCTGGAAATCCAATTTTGAAAATTAGATCCTTGTCCAGAAGGCTCTAGAAGAAAGAAAGAGCTCTTGCACAAACTGTAGCTTCCTTGGGGTCATGCACAGGATGAACCCAGGCTGGAGCAATGGAGGAAGATGTGACAATTGTGCTGGATCTCACAGATTCTGATAGAGAGAACTGGGAGTAGTGTGGGTAGGGAAAGAATCTCTGGCAGAGGAAACTGCATGAACAAAGACATAGAGGCTAGGAATAAAAGGTGGGAGAAGAAAGGGTAGAAAGAAAAGGTTTAGGCGGTGGATGGGTCTGGGTTATTTCCTGGTCCTGGTTAATTGTGTGGCCTTTCACAGTTTCTTCAGGCTGATTTTGAGCATTAACAGAGAGCCCATATAAACCTGGCTACCACCTGATGATCCACCAATAAATGTTCTTTTCCTCCCCAGGAAAGTGAGAACACTGGTTCTCAGCCTTCACTGGGCATCAGAATCTCCTGGAAAGCTTCTAAAAAGACCGATTCCTGACCTTCCTTTCCCTAAGGGCAGGTATCAGGGTTAGAGGCAGAATTAAGGAGCCTGGGAACAACCAGGAACACACACGTACCACACACACCACACCTACCACAACAGACACCCCACACATACACAGCACACACATCAGACATGCACCACACATACCCCCCCCCACACAATACACACACACCACACATACCACACACACCACACGTACCACACACACTACACACACACACACCACATGTACCACAACACAACACACACCCCACACGTACACAACACACACATCAGACATGCACCATACATACCCCACACACACACAAACACGCACACCAAACATGCAGCACACACAGGCACAATACCCACACACACACACCAGACATGTACCACACACATCCACACGACACACACACACACCCCCCACACATACATATTCCACACTAGATACATACCACACAAACCCTGCACACAAATATCACACACACACAACACACACCCCTCACACACACCACACACCAGACACACACCAGACACACACACACAAACATTACATACTCCACACACATTACACACCACACACACACACACACACACACACTCCCCAGGTAGGGCCCTCTCCAGCACCCTAGGGACAGTGCGTTGAACCCCAGTCCAGTCAGCCCAGCAGGAAGAGCTGAGAAGGGACCAGAGACCAGTGAGGGAGGAAAGACCTACAGTCCTGCAGGGCACAGAGAACCCCTAAGGGCTGGCTCCTCCAGATCTGAAGGAGAACAGGAAGGAGAGAGGCAGGAGACGTGAGCCTGCAGCAGAGCTGACTCAGGCAGGGGCGGGATCCTCCCGGTCAAGGGGAGGAGAGGAGGGCTCCTTAGACGGGGGAAGTAGCGTCAGTAAAGGTGGAGAGGCGGGGACAGGATGGAAGCTGTTCTGAAGCAAGCAGCAGATCCGTGCTGGAAGGATAGGGTCTGAGTGCCAAGACCTCCGCGTGAAGACAATGACCTTGAAAGAGAACAATATGAAACCACGGAGGGTTTGAATATGGGACACTGGAAAGATTAGTCCCACAGGGGGGTGAAGCGTGAACCAGAGGGAGAAGGGCCTGGAATGGGGCGGTGGCCATGGCAATGGAGAAGGACAAATCTCAGCGAGTCTTTACTGGGGGAAGACAAAAGCCTGGTGGAGGAGGGAAATGAGCAGTCTCATGTCAGCCCTTCCGTAAGCCAGAAAGTGCTCTGTGAAGGGCGGTCAGTATTGACATACTGAATACAGGGCATGAAGACAGGTGGGGATAAGAGAAGTCCAGGATGTATCCAGGATTTCCTGCTTGGAGGGAGACTGGAAAAATCATGGCTCCTGCCAGGCAGGAGCCCCTGGGATGAGGGGGACAGGGAGACAAGGTGCGGTGAAGGGGGCCTTCCGAGGAGAAAGAGGGCAGCTGGAGACGGGCGGCCTTCGGGCAGACACAACTGCTGGATCCTCTGTCAGGGGATGGGCGTTTGCATCCTGGAGCGCTCTCGCTACAGCGGAGACCTCTGCCAGGAGAGGGGGGCTGCTGACCATGGATCGGGAGGGAGTGGGGGCCAGAGGAATGGAGGGGATATTAGGGGCTGATGGGTGCCCCCCACATTCACATGTTGAAGCTCCAATCCCCAGTACCTCAGAATGTGACCATTTGGAGTTAAGGCCTTTAAAGAGGTGATTCAGTTAAAATGAGGGCCCTAGTCCAGTGAGACCAGTGTCCTTACTAGAAGAGAGGCCAGGGATGCTCGCTTACGGGAAAAAATGCCACGTGCCAGCAGGAAGAGAAGACGGCCATCTACAAGTCAAGCAAAGGGGTCCCAAGAGAAACCAGTCCCGTTGACACCTTGAGCTGGGACTTCCAGCCTCCAGAACTGTGAGAAATGCATTTCTGTTGATTAAATCACTCAGTCTGTGGTGGTTGCTATGACAGCTCAAGCAGACTACTACAGGGGAAGGGGAAGGACACCTGGGGCCCACCAGGATGGACGACCAGTTGGGAGGCCAGTGGGTGCACAGCATTGCTGTGGGCCCCCTGAGTTCTTTACAGAAGGGTCTGCAGGGGCAGAGGGCAGTTTGGCAATAAAAAAGAAAACAAAAAGAGAGAGAGAGACAAAAAAAACCTAGGGAGGAGGAAACAGCTCAGAGAAAGAGAAGGGACTTTCTCCTGCTCGAGAGGGGTCAGACATGCACTCCCTTCACCCCAAACCCCTCTGGTGTATTTACCACTGTCATGGCCCGACTCTGCCTCCCGAAAACTTCCAAAACACCTAGGGCAAAGGACACTGGACATTAAGCCTAATTACTCCTCCTTTCCCCACCCTTCGACCCCTAGGCAACCTTCCCTTCACCTTCCCCTGCTCCCCAAACGCCACTGAGAAAAAGGCCAGGCCTCTGCAGTCCAAAGTGTCCACCCTGCCAACCACGTCTGGCACAGCCCCAGCCACACAAAGCCAGCTGAGCTGGTGCCAAATGTCCATGTAAGGTCAAGTGCGGGGGAAATGACCAGGCAGGGGTTCTCTGGAGTTCCTCAGGATAGCAGCCCACCCTGGTGCCCAGGCAGCCCCATGAGGGTCTCAGCTCCCCAGCCAAGATAGAAGCACAGGGCGGTTACTTGTGGATGGGTCGTCCAGCAGGGGCGTGTTCTACCTCATAGCCTTCACGCCGCAAAACATCCAGCACTGTGTTGTTGCCCATGAAATGACCTGCAGTGAGAAAAACAGTCTGAAATGCTGCAGCTCCCAGGACCACCAATCATACACACACTAGAACCAAGAAATTACCCTGCCAAGCCCCCTGCCTATCTGTCCAGCACAGTACAGTTCCAGAGAGCTTCTGGAATCAGGCCTGCCAACAGTCCTGCAAGGCAGGCAGGGCAGCATCAGTAGCATTTCAGAGACGATGACACTGAAGATCAGAACAATGCAGCGAGTTACCTGAAGTCACACAGCTAAGGGGAGAGCCTGGACATCAAACTGCAACCTGGTAAGACCTCCCAGAAGAGGTGATATGTGAGCAGGATCCTGAAAGGTGAGGACACTGGTCTGGAGAAAATACAAGAATTCAGGCTGGGCACAGTGGCTCACACCTATAATCCCAGCACTTTGGGAGGCCGAGGCGGGTGGATCACCTGAAGTCAGGAGTTCAAGACCCACCTGGCCAACATGGTGAAACCCCATCTCTACTAAAAATACAAAAATTAGCCAGGCATGGTGGCGGGTGCCTGTAATCGCAGCTACTCAAGAGGCTGAGGCAGGAGAATCACTTGAACCCAGGAGGCGGAGGTTGCAGTGAGCCGAGATTGCACCACTGCACTCCAGCCTGGATGACAGAGCAAGACTCTGTCTCAATTAAAAAAAGGGGGGGCAGGGGAGAATTCCCAACTACAGGATGGAATGCAAATGTGCTATCTGAGAAAACAGGGAGGCTGGTGGGACCGAAGGAATAACTACTTCCCAATCACCACTTTCTAGAAAAAGTAAAGGCAACCTAATCTAAGATCTGTCCTTCTTGGAGGATTCTGCATAGGACAAACCCACTATGGTCTCAGGAGTCACAACCAGGGCACCTGGGAGCCTGTGGCAGTACAGCAAATAGGCCCCAAGAAGGAAGCGGAAGGCGCATGGTTCCTGCTTTCATTTTCACCCTCATGCATCAAAGGTGGGGTTCATGGGTCAGCAGAGGCTCAGAAAGGGAAGTTTGGCAAAACCATTCCCTCCCATCCTCCCCTCTCCTCCCCGCAGCCTAGACCAGCCTAGACAGCGGCCAGTGCAGGGATGACAGCTGTAACCTAGAAACGTGGGGTAGGAGAGGAGGCCACTGGAGAAGTAACCCTGGCAAACAGGAGCCAAAAATCAGCATGAGCTGATTTAAGATCGACACCTAAATAAGAAAAAAAGTCGTGTCTTGCACCACTCATCCTAGGTTATTCATTTGCAAATAAGGAACTGGCAATTTAGAACAAGTGATTATCGTTTCCACTTAGCACTTCTGACTTCAATTTTTCTTCTACTGCAAAGGTGATTTCCATTTGTAATCTTCGCATTTTATATCCACATCCCCATGACAAAAGTTGCTGCTTGATTTTAAAACTCCAGTATTTTTGTTTTCAGATATCCTCATTTTGCAATTAAAAGTTTGCTAACCACACAGCTTTTAAGTTTTAAAAGCACACAGTAATGTGTTTGGGAGCAATTTCTGTAGTTTCCTCTGCTCAACTTAGCCTTCAGAAGGCCCAGAGAGAAAGCGGCTACAGGAAGATAACTTTGCCCTAGAAGGAGCCGGTGCTAGACGGGGGTCACAGCCCCTGGGCACTCCCGACGCCCCCATCTAGCACTGCATCAGTATCACAAATCGAGCCCTGAGTAATGGGAAAGCTCAGGTGTTGGTGTTGTCTGTGCCACCTGCCTGGCACAACGCCCACCACGAGGGCCCACCCACCGAACTGCTCAGATCAAGCTATGCTCCAGCCTCCCGCCAGCCCAGAACTCAGTCGACCTTTCCCCTCTCCCCAGCGCCCCATTACCCCTGCACTGGACATAGGGGAAGCTTTTGGGAGCTCACCTAAGTCTGGCAGGAGTGGAAAGCAAAAACCCACACTCCAGCACCTGGGCACCTTCCATCCACGCAGACCCAGGGTGGTGCACTGGGACACCACCACTGGCTCTGTTTCCTAACTTTCTCATCTGGCGCCTGCATCACTGTTATGGTGCCTCAAGAGTGAGGCCCAGGCTAACAGCTTTGTTACAGGAAGCCATGTGTTGAGACAGTAGAAATGTGCACATGACATGAAACACATGACTTACAGAAGAAGAAAACTGCCACCTACTCACAGGCACTGCTGAGGGCACAAACTGCAATTTGTTTTGTGGCAGAACTTTTCAATGAGCATGATGTGGGACCCAAACCCCTCATATTTCTATAAGTTTTATTAATATTTGAATATAATTCATATAACATAAAATTCATTCTTTTAAAGTATGCCATTCGTTGATTTTTTTGCATATTCAGAAAGTCGTGCAAGCACGACCACTATCTAATTTTAAAACATTTTCAACCTTCTGACCCCAGCCCCTGACACCTACTAATCTATGAATACTTTCTGTCTCTATAGATTTGCCTGTTCTGGACATTTCATATAAATATAATCATACGATTTTATGACTGGCTGTTTTCACTTAGCATAATGTTTTCAAAGTTCATCCATGTAGTACCATATATCAGTACCTCTTTCCTTTTTATGGCCAAATAATGTTCCATTGTGTATATATATATCACCTTTTATTTATCCATGTCAGTTGATGGACAGTTGGTTTGGTTCCACTTTTTGGCTATTATAAATAATGCTGCCATGAACATCTGTGTACAAATTTTTGTGTGGATATATGTTTTCAATTCTTCTAGGCATATATCTGGAAGTTGAAATGCTGGATCAAATGGTAGCCCCATGTTTAATTTTGAAAAACTGCTAAACAGTTTTCCAAAATGGCTACACCATTTTACATTCCCAGTAGCAATGTATGAGGGTGCCAATTTCTCCATGTCTTCACCAAAACTTTTTACTATCCATCTTTTTTATTATAACCGAGTATGAAATGGTATCTTCACTTTAGCATCACATCAGTAGGGCTCCAGTAAAATAATAGTGGATTACAGGTGAAAATGCAGCAAGACTCAGACTCTATTTATAAAGAAACGTTCTTAAGAAAACACAAAGACAAAAAACTAGAGGAAAAACTAGAGGACACTAGAGGAAACTGAAGCCTCTGGGATTCAGAGGTACATCAAACATGCCTTAGTCTGTGTTGCTATTACAAAATACCACAGACTGGGTCATTTATAAGTAATAGAAATTTATTTATCACAGTTCTAGAGGCTGGGAAGTCCAAAATCTAGGCACAGGCATTCAGTGCCCAGTGAGAGCCTTTTTTTTTTTAAACACCAAGAGTCTTACTCTGTCACACAGGCTGGAGTGCAGTGGCATGTTCATAGCTCACTTCAGCCTCACCCTCCAGGGCTCAAGTGATCCTCTCACCTCAGCTTCCCAAGTAGCTGGGACTACAGGCAAACTATGCCTAGCTAAATTTTTATTTAATTTTTGTAGAAGTGAGGTCTCACTGTGTTGACCAGGCTGGTCTCAAACTCCTGAGCTCAAGTGATCTTCCTGCCGTGGCCTCCCAAGGTGCTGGGATTACAGGCATGCACCACCATGCCCAGATGAGGGCCTTCTTCCTGAGTCTTCACATGACAGGAGGGGCTAATGCTAGATCTTCACATGGTGGGAGGCACAAGGGCAGAAAAAGAGCCTACACTACTTTCCTCCAGTCCTTTTAAAAGCATGAATCCACTCATGAATGTGAAGCCTTCATGTCTTAATCACTTCCCAAAGGCCCCACCTCTTAATACTATGACAATAATAATTAAGTTTCAACACACAAGTTTTTAGGAACATTCAGACCACAGCAAAACATTAAACAGCCCAACTCTGAGAAAGATTAACATAAACCCTCACACTAAAAACATATTTCCCTTACTTCTCATTGCCAGATACATCATATCCAGCTTTCAATTAAAAATTACAAGGCACGCTGGGAGGCAAGAAAAATTACAATCTGAAGAAACAATGAAAGCATCAGACCCAGACTCAGACATGACAGAGATTCTGGAATTATCAGATAGGGAATATAGTTGAACTGAAGAGCATCATCAATCAAATTGATCTAATTGACATTTAAAGAAGACTTTATCCAAGAGCAGCAGAATACAAATTCTGTTCAGCTCACATGCAACATATTTGTCCTTCATTTTTGAGTTTTGCTGGATGTGGAAATGTTTGTTGACAGTCTTTTATTTCAGCATTTTGAGTATGTGCCCCAGAGCCTTCTGGCTTGCATGGCTTCTGATGAGAAATCTGCTGTTAATCCTATTGGGGATCCTTTGTCTGCCTTGCTCTCACTGCTTTCAAGATTCTGTGTCTTTGGCTTTTGACAGTTTGGCTATGATATGCCTTGGTGTGAAACGTTTTGATTTTATACAACTTATAGTTCATTGATTGAATGTGCAGAGTAATATTTTTCATAAAATTTGAGACATTTTCGAGCAATTTTAAATTCAAATATTCTTATTTCTTTTTTTTTTCTCTCCTGTCTTCTGAGACTCCCATTAGGTGTACATTGGCACACTTGAGGGTGTCTCACAGGTATCTGAAGATCTATTCATTTTTCTTCATTCCTTTTCCTTTCTCTTTCTCATACTGAATCATCTCAATCAACCTATCTTCATGTATATTGATTCTTCTTCTGCCAGTTCAAATCTACTGTTCAGCCCCCTCTAGTGAATTTTTCATTTCAGTTCCTGTACTTTCAATCCAGAATTTCTATTTGGTTCTTTTAAAATAATTTTTATATTTTTATTGATATTCTGTATTTGGTGAGATTTGTTCTCAAACTTTCCTTTAATTCTTTAGACGTGGTTTATTTTAGGGTTTTTTGTTTTTTATTTTTTGTTTTTGTTTTTTGTTTTTTGTTTTGGAGATGGAGTTTCACTCTTGTGGCCCAGGCTGGAGTGCAGTGGCGTGATCTCAGCTCACTGTAACCTCTGCCTCCCAGGTTCAAGCAATTCTCCTGCTTCAGCCTCCCAAGTAGCTGGGATTATAGGTGTGCACCACAATGCCTGGCTAGTTTTTGTATTGCTAGTAGAGATAAGGTTTTGCCATATTGGTCAGGCTGGTCTCGAACTCCTGCCCTCAAGTGATCCATCTGCTTCAGCCTCCCAAAGTGCTGGAATTATAGGCACTAACCACCACACCCGGCCTCTTTTAGTTTTTGAATATATTCATAATAACTAGTGTTAAAGTCTTTTTCTAGTAAGTCCAAGATATTAACTTCCTCAAGGACAGCTTCTATTGGTTGCTTGTTTTTCCCTGGGTGTGGGCCATACTTTCTAGTTTTCTCTGTGTTTTATAATTGGTTTTTATTGAAAACTAGACATTTAAATAACATAACATACCAACTCTGGAAATCATTTTCTCCTGTCCCCTCTTCCCAGGTGCCTTGTTGTTGCTGTTTGTTCAGTGATTTTCTAGGACTAAGTCTCTAAAGTCTGTATTCTTTGTTGTGTGTGATCACTGAAGGATCTGCTCAGTTAGCTTAGTGGCTGGGTAATGACTGAACAGAGATTTCCTTAAATTCCTTGAACTGGTAAGTTTCCCAACCTTTGCAGAGGGGCTATGTGAGTTTGGGGGCATGTCTTTGATGCTTCAGCAGGCAATTTATGACCCTGCCTTAGCTTTCACACCCTGCTTACACAGAGCCTCAAGATCAGTCAGAGGTGAGAGAGATTAGGACCTTCTCAAGTCCTTCCTGGGCATGTGCACAGCGCTTCGCATGCATATGACTTTCTTTTTTTTTTTTTTTTTTTTTTGTCATTTTGGCGAATTTGAGACGGAGTCTCACTCTGTCGCCCAGGCTGGAGTGCAGTGGCCAGATCTCAGCTCACTGCAAGCTCCGCCTCCCAGGTTTACGCCATTCTCCTGCCTCACCCTCCGGAGTAGCTGGGACTACAGGCGCCCACCACCTCGCCTGGCTAGTTTTTTTGTATTTTTTAGTAGAGATGGGGTTTCACCAGGTTAGCCAGGATGGTCTGGATCTCCTGACTTCATGATCTGCCCATCTCGGCCTCCCAAAGTGCTGGGATTACAGGCTTGAGCCACCATGCCCGGCCTGCATGTGACTTTCTAGGAATATTTTAGAGCTTTTCAAAATCCTCTATGGTATTTTCCTTTTAAGTTTTTTGGGCAGCCTCTTGTAAGCTTCAATTAATATTGCTATTTCCAGCAACTATGATGTTAAACTGCTGCCACTGATTGTTTTCAACAAACACCGTAAGAATAGGGCTATTCACACAGAGCAAGCTCTGAGTCAGTTCAAATGAAGACAAGCTTGGGAATGGAAATTTCAGGGAGCTATTGGACATGTCAAATAGTGATGATTCTTTGAGGATGGAGCTTTGGAGGAACTTTGAACCCATTCTGTCCCCTCCAGTAACCATTAGGCAAATGGTTTTCACAGTTACTGTAGTTCAAGGCTCCTGATTTTCAAGACTACTGTGAAGCTGGGAAAAGGGAGATAAAAACAGAACAAGTTAAAATGCCACAAAGCCCACTGCTTCTATCAAAATTCATCCAGTTTTCTTAAATAAACACTTCTAGGATTGTTGCAAACCTTTAATTAATTTCCAGAGCTGTGGAAAATTTGATTTGACTATTTTCTCCAGTGTTCTTATTGCTGTTATGGAAGAACAGGTTTTTGGAGGCCCTCACCCCGCCATTTCAGAGTTGCTTCTCTCCAACCCCCTATCTTACTGGTAAAAAAAAACTGAGGGGTATGACTTGTTTAAGTTTATGAAGTTAGCAGAAAAATATGAGACAACAAAGCCCAGCTCAGCAAATGATCTTTCTGCATACTGTCCAGCCTCTGGCATTTTTATCCTCAATTCCTGAGGCTGCAAAGAATTCTGTGTCAGAGTCACTCCGGGGGTTAAAATTTACTTCAAGAAGCCCACAAAAGAAAATAATTGTCCTATTCTCTCTCCATGTATGCTGCTAACAGTCAGTAACAGCTGATGTATCAGGCCTTGGACTTGGGAGGCTCATTGTCAGGTAGAAGAGTAAAGACAGATATATTTTTAGTGAAAGTTTACAAAGCGAAAAGTACCAGGAAGAAGTTGGGATTAAGTATGAAATTCAGAGGACAAAAATGCTTTCCCAGCTGGCTCATGTGTGGAGAGAGCTATGGGTGATGTCACATGCACCAGCTCATCCAGCAACATTTCAACCATGCTGGATGCTCCGTACCCAGCTGGAGCCACTCTGCAACTGAAATAAGTCAAGGAAGGTGTCACTCCCTTCATCTTGCTTCATGACTAACACAGGCCCTAAACAGGGGTTCACCTCAACATTCCCTTCTTGGGAGAAGCCTCAGATTTCAGAGGCTACTCAGAGGTAACCCACTACTCACCAGCTCCAAAGGCAAAGAAGAAGCCTTTGTCAGGGAACTCCTCCAAAAGGGCCTTCACCCGCTTCCCTATTCTCTCATTCCGCTTATAGATCAGCTCCCGGCGTAAGTAGCTGTCAATCTCCTGAGCAGTGATGAGCTCCTGAGGCGGTAGCGTGGCATTAATAAAATTGGGGACCTCCGCCAAAATAAAGAGAAAAAAAAGGGGCAACGGAGTTATTAACAAAGTTACTTCACTGGAGCATCAAATCCCCCAACTAGATGGTCAAGACATTGTCAAGAGAAGAGTGACACCATTCTTGGAGTTTCCCTTCTGCTATGTTTCCAACTGTATCATATTCCCTGTAACCAAAGTGAAAAAAATATTAAGTGAAGTGCACTGAATGAACTCTTATGCTATTTACAATGTTAATAGCATAATAGTTAAATGGCTCTGTCTGATGCCATGTGTTTATTAAAAAAAAAAAAAAAGACACTGTCTGCACAGCACATCCATAGTTTTAACTTGTATGATTCACGCATGCTTTTCTTATAAAAATAGTCTTATATAGTTTCATATTTTAGATTCTATTACCAAAAACATGAAATTTGTATGAACACTTAAATGTTTTATAAATCCTCTACTTTACATTTTCATTATTTCTCCACTTCCTATTTCTCTCCCTTGCTTTCCCCAGTGTTCTTTGCCCACCTGGCAAATATTTCACTTGATGCTGGTATACATGTTAGCCAGTTTCAGTATTTTGGCTAATAAAAGGATGCAATTGCATCAAAATTGTGACAATCAGCATGGTTCTTGCAGCACAGGAGCTACCGGTAATGCTAGCCCTCTGTGTTTTCTCCCCACCCCCTCAGCTGTCTGGCGTCCCAAACCTCGGCCTCCCACTTCTCCCCGTGGGTGCATGCTGTCTCCTCCACCCAGGGACTTAACAATGTTACCCATTATCTTGGTCAGTATCTACCCTGCCTGCTGCTGCTGCTTCCAGTAGCCTCTCAAAAAGTTTTCCAAAGTCCTCAGACTCTGTAACATAGCATTAACTTCCATCTTATGGATAACAGATCTCCTTTCGCTACTGCCTCGAAATGATATTCTCTCATTTTCACATCGACAGCCTTCATCTTCTACTCTGTCATCTTTTTTTTTTAATCATGTCATTTATGTAAGATTCCCTGACCATTTCCCAAAATCTCTTCTCTTCAGCAGAGCCCCCTCTTTACCAGCCTCTCTACAGAGGCAGCGTCAGATACACAGGGTGACCTCCCTCTGACATCCTGCTCCACCTTCTAAATTCCCAACATCACCCAAAGCCTGCACCAATCCCTCCTGGCCAGCCTAGCCCTCACTCACAGTGGCAGCACATTCCCTGACCTCCTGTAGGGGCCCTGTGGGCAGGACAGGTATGGGAAAGCCACAGGAGAGAAATGCATAAGACATCGGTATTATCTGCTCCACCAGCCTCACCATTTGCCCACGTAATGACCAAATTCTCCACCCACATTAACTTTTTTCTGCTGCTACAAATGTCAATTTCCCAATTGATCTTGACTTTTCTTCCCCTTTCCCTACCCCCAGCAAGTGTGCAGGTAAGACCTATCACCACCATCAACTCTATTTTTCCTTCTTTAATGTGTTTCCTGTTCTCCCTTTCCTCCTGCTTCACTTTATCTTGATTTGACTTCCTCTTCCTCTAGATTTTTGGAGATGCTCATTATGTCTTTTGAGGCTTCTGTCATTAAGAAATGTCACCTTTCTGGACTGATGCTGCACTCAGCCTCTACTGTCCTTCTCCCCATTGCTGCTATTCCTCCTTCAGCTCTCATGTTCACACGTCTCCTTATGACTGGGTCCCCAAATTTAACATAGACCTATACAGCATGACCCACACCCACGAGCTCCTATCTCCCTTCTCCAGTGTCCTCATGCATGCGGACACCAGTCCTAGGTGGGGGAAACAACACAATCCCCTACCTCAGAAGTTTAGCTGATTTTTGCCATTTGCATGTAGTCCTAGAGAGGAGGGGAAGGGACCATGGCTTGTCCCATTGGAAGCCTGTTGATAAAAGCATAACAAAGATCTGTCCCACTTCCCTCCTGGAAGGAGACCATGATCTTCTGAGGCCTGACCAGTTGCTTCCTTCCACTCAGTGGCCCACAGGTAAGGCTGAGCTGGACAAACACTCAATCCACCAGTTCAGCCACACTTATCCTGCAATACCACAGGATGCAATGATCCACTCCACGTCTGCAAATGCTAGCAGCCTTCCCAGCTCTGATGCCCCAGTCCTGTAAGCATTTTGTGAATACACAGTTATATCCTGCTCACATGTTCCTAGAGGCCACTGAAACTGCAGTCAAAATTCTGCTCCATCATTTTGCAAAAGTGTGACCTAAGTCAGCCAGGAGGTCATCAGACTCAGAACCCTTCCCTTCCTCAAGGCTTGTTCATGTGGCCTGCTGTTAAATCCTTTGAAGCTTCATCCTTTGGCTGGAATCCTGGAATTAGCCCTAATCAGTGCTCCTCTCTGTACTTACAAGGTTTGTAAAACTTTCATTAGCTGCAGTGCCTCATTCAATGACATCTAAATCTGCCCATTTTATTTCTAGAGCCCTCATGATCTCAATCCTTTGTACACAGGATGTACATGTCGCCAGGTAATGTTTTTATTCCTATAATTAAATGTATACTGAGCTTAGCAGAGGGAAAGGGTGCTCACCTGGGAGCTGTCATGGCTGAGGATGACGGAGCTGAGGTCCCCGCAGTTATAGTGTTTGATGAGATCCTCCGTCGTGTAGGGGATCTGAAGACTGCCCGCTCGCAGGCTCTCCTGCTGCAGGAGGGTCTGGTTCAAAGCAAAGATGACCTAAAAGAAAGGTCTCTTTTAAGTTCATTAACAAGGCAAGTATTTGCTGCCATCTTATTTCTTTTGTCCATGACTGGAAATACCCTCACCTCTGTGCTCGTTATGTAAGGACATGGATAGTGCTACTTTAAAAAGGAACACAAATCCCTGGACAGCGTCCAAAGAAAAGGAGGTGAACAGTCCTTCCCAAATCAGCCCCAATCAGACGCACCTAGGGAACTGCCTTATGGAGGACACAGACAACGTGGAACTCTTCCATGAGTGTGACCAAGAGGTGAGGGAACCCAAGAGCTAGCTTGTGAGGAACAACTGAAGAAGCTAGGAGGTGGGGCAGAGAGAGGGCTGGGGACTCACAGACACACCTACCAGTGGGTTCCAATTACATAAAGGACTGGGCAGGAACCAATGCATTATCCACATCTTTTCTAACCATCAGTGCGGCATGGCCAGCTAACAGCGTCATTAGATCCATGGGATATTAATGGGAGTTAATGTGAAAAAATGGGAAATGAAGGCTAAAGAAAATTAAATACCAGCCTGGCCAACATGGTGAAACCATGTCTCTACTAAAAATACAAAAATTAGCTGGGCATGGTGGCATGTGCCTGTAGTCCCAGCTACTCGGGAGGCTAAGGCTGGAGAATTGTTTGAACCCGGGAGGCAGAGGTTGCAGTGAGCCGAGACTGTGCCGTTGCACTCCAGGCTGGACGACAGTAAGACTCTGTCTCGAAAAAAAAAAAAGAAAAGAAAATTAAACAGGTTTTAATTTTACAGAACTTCTCAGAGTCTTTGATATACTAACGTGCGATGTGGGTCTCCTTGATGGGGAATAGAGTATGTCAGGTTTCCCAAACATATTTGAGGCACACAACATAAGAGGAAGCTTCGTTGGAACATCTTTTGGGAAAATCCAGATTCAAGATCCTGATGCCAGGAACCCTACCTCTCCAGCTCTGACCCAGCTCTCCAGTGCCCAGGAGAATTCATTTTACAAAGTAGGGAATTCTCCTGGGCACTGGAGAGCTGGGTCAGAGGTGGGGAGGTAGGGTTCCTGCTATCAGGTGGGTAGTGGGGCTGGCCACCCACTACGAGGCTCCAGACAACACTTATGACCCTGTGAAATTTTCTCTCTCACTTTCCCCATGTATAGATGCAGCTCTATAGCCTCTGACAGCTCCCCTTTCTTGTGCTTCCCCAGTAATCAGCATACAGGATGCTGCCTTTGCTGGAATATCCCCTCACTCTTTGCTGCAATACAGACAGGCTTGGTCCATCTGTGTTGCAGCAAAGACTGACCATGAGGTCTTTAGCAAGAGGTTTCAACTCTCCAGAGACAACCATTAGAGGTCTCAGGTCAGCAAATGACCCTACCCAGCCCCAACTCCCTTTCTCCTTTCACATGTTCTCATTCTGAGTAGCGAGGAGACAAGGCTTCCTGGTTTGCCTCCCATGGGCCAAGCTGGCACAGACCCACTGCGTGCCCCTTGTCTCAGTCCGTTTGTGCTGCTACAACAAAATGCCTGAGACTGGGTAATTTATAAGGAACAGAAATGTATTTCTCACCATCCTGGAGGCTGGGAAGTCCGAGATCAAGGCACTGGCCTTTGGTCTGGTGAAGGCCTTCCTGCTGCATTTTCACATGGAAGAAGACAGAAGGGCAAGCTAACGGAATGGCTGCCTGACACCTCTTTTATAAGGGCCTTAATCCCATAAAGGCCTTATAAAGAGGAGCCTTAATCCCATAAAGGCCCTTATCCTTATAAAGAGGAGCCCTCATGGCCTAATCACCTCCTAAAGGCCTCACCTCTTAATACCATCACACTAGCAACATCTGAATTTTGGAGGGAACACATTCAAACCACAGCATCCCTCCTTCCATATAGTTACCTCCTTCAGTTACTCTAATATTTCCTGTGCCTGTGATGCAACCTTAACCAAAGAAGGAGGCAGATCTCTCTTTGTAAAAGAATGGAAGGGAGTAAGGGATGATGAAAGGTATCATGAAAGTTCATTCTGTGTCAACTAATCAAGGACAGAATGAAGGCAAGTCACAGTACTAAATGATCCTAAAGTTCATTCATTCATCCCTTCTTCTATTCATTAATTCAGCCAATAAATAGTTATTATATGCCTACTGTTCCAAGCACTGAAGATACACTCATGAACAAGACAAAATCCTTGCCTTTAATGGAGCTTTCATTTTACCTGAAAAAGGGGGCGTTTTTCAAGAAAAATCTTGAAAAGAAGGGTGGAAAGGGTGTATCATAGAAGCTTCTGGGAGGAGGATGAAAGGCAGAGGCCCAGAGTTAAACTCTCTGATTTCAGGCTTGCCAGGACAGCACATACACAAGCAAATCAAAACCCTTGATCATCCCAGGGTCATTGCTTTCTATTTTGCCTGGAGAGGAGGGAGGTCACCTCGTGTCACCCAGCACTATGGTGAGGAGGCCATACTATAAACACTTTTCTTTTAAGGAAGTTTGAACAGTGGACTGTGCATCAGAGTTGGTGCTGAATCTTTCTTTTGTTGCTAAAAACCACAGAAATGTGCTTTTTAAATCTCTAGCACGATTTCCTGTAATCACCACATGCCTTTCCTTTCAGAGCTGCTGCAGTGATTCGAATAACAACCCAGGGGAAGCATGGCTTTCATGTGTGTTTATTTATACCCCAACTACTTCTGAAAGGCCTTAAGCTTCTCACAGATTAAAACCCAGCACAAGATAAGCCATCGACCTAAAAGATCAAGAGATACAGTGTCTCGAGAGACCAACTAAGTGATGAGGTAAAAAGGGCTGGATTTCCTTGGCTGAAGAGAGCAAGGATCCTGCCCCACTGTACTCACCAGCAGGTGCTAAACACCAAACACAGTGGTCGCTGTGTGTCCAAAGAGATGCAGCCAATGAAAGTCAGAGGAAGGCTCCATGATGAGCCTCAAGGACAGCTTGCCCCAGGGTCATCAGACGAGGCAGCCCACCCCAAACCCCTCCTTCGCTGGCTTAGCTGAGATGTGGGGAAGTTTCTGGAGCACCGTTTATGTTAAGCAGGGGAAAGCCCTCACTGAAACAGACTCCTTGGAGAAAGACCCAAGACGGATTCCTGAAGAAAAAGTCTCTGAGTGGGATCCAAGTGTCCTTACAGGGTTTCCTTGGAGCCAGAATACTCCCCTGATGACTCAAGGTGCCTGTCTGCACACTACCACCACAAACCAGGGAGGCAGGTCACTGCCATCCAGCCGTCTCACTCCAGATGGTAGCCCTTTATCACCTGTGCTGCCCAGACCTGGCAGTCCATGCCTCAGGCTACTCTGGAGTGAAGCTGGGTAGGGGCAGAGCCTTGCCAAAGGTGCCTCCCTTGGAGTGAACCTTTGGTCAGGCCAGGGGTAGCCATCTGTGGAGCTAGAGGAGGTAACTCCCTCTCCAGTGAGGAACCAAGTCCAGGGCAGGATGGTGCTCCAAGGGAAGTCTCCATGGGCACCACAGGAGCAATGCACAACCCTAAATTCACTCCCATTCGAACCGCTGAGGCCCAGATATGGCATCCTCATAAACTACTGTGGCATCTCTGAAGGACCCCTCTCTGATAGGACAAATGACTGTCAGTCATCCTTACATAATTTACTTTCCTTGCTGTGCTTGGAGAACTCTGAACCAGTCTGACAAATTTGGGGTTTCAGGATGAGGCTTGTGGATAAGAGACTTGCTCACAAACTCCACAGTTAAGTTGACCCCAGGGCCTCTTCCAGGTGGGCCGTCCTGAATGGGGCATTGTCACTGATCAAGTCACCTCACATGAATCAGCTGAACGCACCTGGGGCACAAGGACTGTTGTTCCTGGAGATCCAACAAGGCCAGGTGCCATGAGCAGCATGCTCAGCCAGGAGCTGGGGACAGTGGCCAGGAGGGGAGAAGGGCAAAGGAGCAGGCACAAGGGTCCCGGATGGATCCACCCTGCTAGTGCTCACTGCCTCCCACTGTGCCCACTGCCTCCCACTGTGTCTCCCTTTCTCCATTCAAATCCTTCCTTTACAGTTTCTGCTAACATTTTTCATGTGTTATGTTAGGCTCCTAGGGCTGCCATAACAAAATACCACAAAATGCATAGCTTAAACAACAGAATTGTATTGCCTCACCATCCTGGATGCTAGAGTATGCAACCAAGGTATTGACGAGGTCATGCTTCCTCTGAAGAAGTTGAGAAAGGATCTATTCCAGGCCTCTCTCCTAGCATCTAGTGGTTCCTTGGCTTGTGGCTACATAATTCCAATCTACATAGTGTTCTTCCCACATGTATATCTATCTCTGTGTCCAAATTTCCTTTTTGTATAAGAGCTGTCATTTTTGAGTAGGGCCCACCCTAATGACCTCATCTTAACTTCCTCACCTGCAAAGACGCTGTTTCCAAATATAGTCACAATCTGAGATAACCTGGGATTGGGACCACAATGGAAGAATATGGGATGAAGACATAATTCAACCCATAACCCATGTAGATCTCAGCACTCCTTTTTTTCTAATAGTATGCATACGGTAAAAATTTTAAACAGTATAAAGAAATAGATCGCCTTCCAATCCCTGCTCCCCAATCACTCTTCCTAAAAGCAACCACTACTGCCAACACATTGTATCTCTTTTCATGGATGCTCTCTACACATAAAAACAATAGATACATAGATAGATAGATAGATAGATAGATAGATAGATAGATAGATAGATAGATGATAGATAGATAGATAGATAGATAGATGATAGATAGATAGATAGATAGATAGATAGATAGATAGATAGATAGATAGATAGATAATCTCCTCCACTTTCATTTTGCTGCTTCGGCCAATAAAAGTCAATCAAAGGCTTTAGTCAATAAAAGCCTTTCCATGAACAAATACTGAAAATATATTACATATATAATTTTTTATATATTTTATATATATATGTGTGTGTGTGTGTGTGTGTGTATAGAGAGAGAGAGAGAGAGAGAGAAAGAGAAAGAAAGAGAAA